TTTTTTTTTTTTCTTTTCTGTCCCTTTCCTCTTTGTCGGTGCGAAGTAGGAATGGATAAAGTAGTTCCGGGTTTTGAATGCAGCATGAGATTGTCATTTCAGTGGGATGAGGTTCAAGTTTTAGTTGTTAGGCAGGACATTCCCAAAGCTGATTGACCCAAGCTTCACGTGGAATTGTATCTTAATACTTCATTAGCTAGTGTTGCGTTTTGGCAACTCTAAAGATGGTGAGGTATTAGCTAGGAAAGGTTGGAGTAGGTAAGCAGGTTCATTTCTGAGGCAGGCTATCAGCGTAATGCACCTTCAGGAGTAAATCATTGGGAATTTGGTGACTTCTGCACAGAAGGCCACAACCATCTTTTATGGTTGAAAAAGAAAATAAAAAGCACACTCCCCTTTCCCATGTCTACTTTTTTGACTGATTACACTGTTCTTGAAATAAACGGTTTAAAAGCAGTAGAGTATGGTTTTTTTTTTGGAGGAACAAAAGTTGCTTAAACTTTTGGAAACAAGTGTTTTGATTACTACAAAGAAAATAACCCCTTCCATTGATTTTTTTTTTGGGGGGGGGGCGTGGGGAGTGGAAGTGTCCCTCTAAAGTTTGGGAAGGTGTGTTTGGTTGGGAACCAAGGTTGAAACTGGAAAGGGCAGTGGAGGAGGCTGCCCGCCTTGCGGAAGTGTTGGGCTCTGCCACTGCTGGCCTCAGCTTTTCTGCACAAGTTGCAGGTAGGTAGGAGAGTCATACTTTTTCCTGTAGAAATGTGTAGATTTTTATGATTGGAAGAAAGTTTTATGTGTCTGATAATTGGCTTTCAAAGTGTAAATGTGCATTTGCTTTCTTTAACTTTCATCTTGATATGGGCCTGTTCTTGCCAGTTGCCTCACAGAACACTGCAATGTACACACTATTATCTGCTGTTATATCTGCTTTTGTAAAACGATATCACTGTTTTTTTTACATCTGTGATGCTGATAGCCAATGTGAAAAAGCATTTCACTTCCCATTGATTATATTGTCATCTTTAGTTATTTTTTGAAATTGAAATGTATTAAGATCAGGAAATCCCCACAGTATAAGGTTGGTTTGGGGAAACAAGTGATGCAGTGAGTTACAGGTAATGCATACTTCGGTTATTGACCGTGGTGGTGGTGGAGTATGCATTTACTCCTGGGACTGTGCAGAAGAGTTTTGCATCTCAAATGGCAAACCTGCTGCACTTATCCAAAGTTTGTGGTGTTAAAAGTGTTGGCCAAACCTTTAATTAAATTTTTCCATGAATGCCATATAACTTTTAGATTAGTATGTTGGTTGAATTTTTTTTTCCTTAGGTCGTTTAGAGGACTGTTCTAAAAAGACATACTCTGAGAGATTGTTCATTACAACAGGAACAATTCTAGTTCAGCTTTTTTTATGCTTGCAATTGGTAATTTTCCAAATGTGTCTTATTGACTAAAGAGATGGTACATGAACAAATTGGAAAAAAAAAATGTTATGGTCAGATAGACTATAGAAAGCTGAGATAATGTCTGCATTTGGGGTTTTACTTCCAATACTCACATCTGAAGCATGCACAATGCAGAGAAAATGGGAAGTGCTTGTTCAGTATATTACACACTTTGGACAGGCTCCCGGCAGGTCCCCCTCTGGAAGGCACAGGCATTTTGCCAGTAAAGGCAGGAGAATGGAGCATCTCGGGGAAGCTTGAGAAGGTGAGCAAGGTACTCATCAATGGAAGGAAGGGATTGCCAATTAGTTTTTACCTTAGAAGGCATAATGTAATTATATGACATTTTTAAAACAAAAACTTAGGTTGTAATCAATATTTAAAATATTCTGATTATATTTATTGTTTTTTCCCCCATCTCCTTCACCTATGCCCCCTAATGTGATTACTTGCCATGATTCTGCCAACACTTTTATTGAAATTACTTGCCAAAAGAGTGGTGATTAAAAGTTATTTTATGTATATTATGCCAAAAGAGCTGAAAAGTTGACTGTGTCATCATCTATTAAACTTGTCTGTTTGGCTTATGTTATTTTTTATTTTATTTTTTTGTAAAGGGTAGAATGAGTATAGATTTTGCTAAAAAAAACCCAAAAAATTCTATTATGAAAACATCTCTGGATAGTTTATCTTCCCACCATTGTTTTTCTTAAAGTAAATCAAATGCATATCCACAGGCACCTGTAGTCAAAATAGTTTTCAGGTTAATGAACATCCCTCCCCCACCCCCTTCAGGTCACGAGTCTGGCCAAAATGGAAGGAGAGTCCACCAGTGGGTGGAGTACTTTAATAAAGCGAGGCACCTGGGCCATTGTGCCATGCCCTTGCCCTCCTCACTGGACCCCCAGTGGTCTAGACTCAAAGCTCAGCCTGAAGAGCTGGGGCTGTAACATTTGAACTGTCGGTTCTGTAGGATTGCATTTGTGCTTTCATCCTTTCTTTTTGAGAGCACCTAGGGAGCCTAGTATTGTCCTACCTGACATACACTCTCACACACCCTTGCTGCCTCCTGAGTCTCCTTTGCCCTGACCTCTGCAAAGCCACCCTCTACCTCAGATAGGGAGAGATGGGCAAAGTCTGCCTGCAGCCTTTATCTGTCTCTTTACTCTGGAAAGGAATTAAGGGGACAGCAGAGAGTTTTATTTTGGCTGGCTTCACAATTCATTTAGAACAGTTTTCAGTATTTAGAGGCAATACAAAAGAAAATTCCTGTTTTAAATGTGAATTGCATAAATGGCAGTGTCATTCAATACTAATAGTAGTAACAATATTAACAAAACCATAGTTGCAATTTACTAGCCATGTCGCTTCTGGCAAATTAATCTCTCCGCTTTTCTCATCTGTGAAATGGGGATAATCATTGTACCTAGGGTGGCTATAAGGATTAAATGGGTTGATATATGCAAAACTGAGAATTGAGCCTGACCCATCGTAAGCACTGTATTGGTGTTAATAGTTAAGCTCTAATTATCAATCATGGAGCTCAGTGCTTTATATGTGCCATATAATCTAATCCTCATAATAACCCTATGAGCTGTAGATTTGCTTTTTTGTATTTTTCTCATAGATGCTAAACTTGTGACAGACACACAGGTTTAATTGACTTGCCCAAGTTTAAAATCTAGGCACTGATAGGGACAGCTGCTGAGTCTGAAGCTTAGTGCTTATACTAACCTTCTTATTAAGAGTTTTACAAAACAGCATTGCATTTTAACAAGAGGAGGGGCTTTGGATTGTCTACTTCAACCCTCTCATCCCAGGGTGCCTCCTCAGGGCCTCTCTTCAGTGATGATGCAGAGAAGCAGAACGTTCAGCCCTATGCCCATTTCTGGGTAACAGGGTGTTTCTCAGGCCCAAGGAAGCCTTGGTGTGGTGCCTGCATCATCCTTTCTCCTTGACCCCAGGTGATGACCTCTGAGCCTGGAATTGTCTCCAGCTGGGCCTGGTCACGCTCTCCTCTGCCCTCCTGCAGTACTGTGGCACCAGGCATCACTGTGCTTTCTGGAGAATCCTGCCTCCTTGTCCTTCCTTGTAGTTTCACCTGGGCTTGTTCTGCACGTGTGTCCCCCCCCCTCCCCCCCCCAAGGGCTTGCAGTCAGGGAGTCCTGCTCTAGACACTGCTTTCCCACAGTACAAGCTCAGCCCTGAGCCTGGCAGCAGGCAGTACATTCTGGTTGGTTTGAAAATGAATGGAGATATTTGATGACTGCGACTCCCAGATTAATTTGATCCCATCATTTTTATTTTGTTTTAGTTGATATAAAATTTATCCTGAGTGCATCATTTTAAGTTGAACTGCATTGTGTTTACTAGGACATTTTAACTTTCGTTCAGTTCGATTTTCATGATTTCCAGAACATACCTGAAAAGTGAAAAGATTTTTAAATAATGATTTTTTTTTTAAAGACTGTGAATTTAGGTGGGGAGCTTGCCCTAGACTCAGAGCGAGCACACTGAGGATATAGGGAGGTAAGGACTGGGGCCCAGGAACCCCTCTATAGCCCTTGCATCTGGATCGCAGAACCAATTTTGTGCTGGGACCCAGTGCAAGGTTGCTAATTTTATCACAGGGTAGAATCATATGATCAGGATATAGTCTTGATTTATTTAAAGTGACTTAAAAATATCCTTTATCTCTCACCAAGTTTGCTAAATCCTTGCCCTTTGTAAAAGGGGGTGAGTAAGTCAACAAAGTCAGAGGACTTTTCAAAGAAAAGTTCTTTGCCAAAATGCCTGTAGGTTAGAGGGTTAAATTAAAATTTTACTTCCAAGCAGTTGTACATTAAGAAGTCATGGGTGCTTGTCAGGCATCAGAAACAACATTTATTTTGAGGAAGAGAATGAGAATTGCTCAGTATCTTAGCAGAGAGAGAAAATATACTTCCAATTAACAGTATTTTGAGTCGTCTTTAAAATGGTTGAAAGAATGGAGCGAAATCATTCCCTTTAAGGAAATTTTGAACTGTTCATATGATGTTATATAAGTGAGTTAATTTGTTATTTGTTCATAGGATTCCTTTGTACCTTTTGTTCCAGCAACAATAGTAACTAACTTGGAGACTAGATATCATAACACTCTTGGTTATTTGAAAACATTAACTTAATGGATGGTCGATATTATCCACATATAAAAATCTTTACACCGTGCTGGGTAGAAATAGCTCAATGGACAGATGTATGTAGGCAGACACTGGAAGCAAAATCTTGTGAAATCTGGGCAGCATATAGCCTGTGGATCTGAATAGTTTGGGCTCCATTGATCTCAGGAGGTTCAGATAGAGACTGCCAGTGCCTCAGGCTTCTGAGTTTTCTGCATTCTTGCTGAGAGAAAAGAGAACTTGTCAGTCCTCTAGATGTGATAGCCCTTGTGACTGTGGGTTAATACTTCACTTCTCCCTAAGGAGGAGCTGCGTTTTTACAAATTGTGCAATAAGGAGCCTGGATAGCTATGGAAGGGGTTGGGGGGCAGGGGACATAGATGCCAAGAGGGATACAGGTGGCAGAAGCTTAAGCTCATAGAGCAGAAGTGGGCAGCCTTCCAGAAGTGATGTGTCCAGTATTCTTTTATTCACTAGTTTGTGGACTTCTTTGGCAAGGATTCATTTCAGTGAAGTCTCTTTGGAAGGAAATTTGCATGGTCCTAGATGCCTGGTCTTGGACTTGACGGAACTGCTCTGAGTTAGAATGGCTTCTCTTTGTGCAGGTGCGTTTGTGAAAGAGCCACAAACACTCGGTAAGGCTGCTGTTACAGAGAGTACAAAGCGGAGGTCAGAGCGGGTGGGCAGGAATCTGCATCGGTCACCCCATGGACATAACTCAGGCATCGAAGCAAGTTGAGTTTGGGCAGTAGGTTCTAGTGGTGTAAAAAGTGGTGGCTCTGGCAGACTGCCTGGATCTGAATCCTGCTTCCACCTTTCAATGGCTCGGTGTTACCATGGCCAAGGTACTGAACTTTTTGCACCTCAGTTTCTCCCATGTAAAGTGAGAATGATTGATAGTACCTGCCTTATGATTATCTTGCTTTGAATGTGCTAATTGTCTGTATTGAATGTGTTAGTGCACATATAACTCCCAACAAATATTAGGTGTTGACAGAACAGCTCCCGTAAGCGTTAGGTCAGGAGGAGGAGGAAGACGATTGAATCGGTTACAACACACGTAGCCTCCAGTACGTGTCAGGTGATGACCGTGCTGACCAGGACAACAGTGACAATTATTAAAATGGGCCTGGCGACTGCACACTTGAATAATGGCCAAGTTTGTTTCATTAGCAACAAATAAACTTCTAATGTATTAAGCCCTGGAGGGGAAAGAATAGCCTGCATCTTCTTAGCCAAGGATGCTGTGTACCTCACATTAGGACACGAGACATTCGTCACCCAAATGACTAGTCAGGTCTCCCTTTTCTTTTACAACATTGTTCTCTGGCCACTTAATTGACACCGAATCATGGCTGATCTCGAATTGTTTTGATTGATCTTCCTGGCCTTGATGATGGGGTCCCAGAAGATAGGAATGGTGTATTCTAATACAACGGTGTACTTTCAATCCTATAGTCATAGGAGATCTGGGGTTCATTTTTTCAGACGAGGGCCCAGCATGCTGTACAGGATTTATCGTACACAGTCAGTAAGCTTCTTTTTGCAAATGGTGAGGGACAAAGAATTAATAGAAACACAGGTTTCTGGCACACATGGCAGAGATTGCTACTCTAGAGTCTGGCCTCAGTAAAGCCAGCAAGTTCTTCGGGTTTGTAATACCTTGAGTATTCATGGAGCCTTTCTTACTACAGTGTGCCCTGGCGAGGAACTTGCATAGATAGCTACGTAGATATGTGGTGAGCAGGGGCCTGGTGGTCGCTGAGGACTGTGCTCCCATTCTGTGAAGAATCTCACCAAACTGGCCCACTGAGTTGTTGAAATAGAGGAAGCCATAAGCAGCAGCTGGAGGAAAGATCTGCCAGCCCACTGGTTGAGGAATTTTCCCCCCAAAAAAGACGTACATTGCCTGGAAAAGCTAACAAAAATTGCAAGGCAGGTTTGGAGGGATTACATTATTCTTAGGCATATTGCCTGGTTTCCAGGCATTTAGGGACATGTAAATTTTTTCATGTTCTTTAGAGTTCTGTGTCTCATTTGTACAGAGTGCATTAGTACTAAAAATGAGATGTGCTAGTTCTACATTTTTGTGTGAATTTATGCAGTGAGTATTTAATTTGATTCCAGATCTAGCAAAAGGAGAGGCTGTCTTCAAACATAATATAGTTTATTTTTTTCATCCTCTCTGCTGGTTGCTTTCATTTTTTTCTCTGACAACTGAAATACAAAGCAGAATGATACTAACCAAAATTCATATTCTTGCTACACAAACATTTCCAGTGTTTGTTTTTGCTTCTTTTAATATGTAACTCTCCTAAGAGTGTTATTATATTACAGCTAAGAGGCTTTAGCCATGTAAAGTTGAATACTTTACACTTCTGAACGCCAGCATAACAATTACTCTGTAATCAGATTTGTCTTCTTAAGATGCTTACACTGAAGAGTGCCTATAATATTAAACTTCTGAAGTGTTCCACACTGTATAAAGTTTGTACAAGCTCTCTTTGATATAGCACACCGAAATTGTGTGACTATTGTTTTTATTGCTTTATTGTTCAGCCAGCTTAACGGAAACCTTTAGGTTGCTTTGACTTTATAATAAAGGTAACGATGAGAAATGATTGGAGTGCTAAGTGTGCACATGCGTGCACTATTCTATTGGCAATCCAACGCTAACTTACTAACTTAGAGAATCGTTGGCTCTCTAATTTCTCTGTCTCCACTATGTTAAAAAAAAAAAGAAAGAAAGCTTTCATTTCCCATTTCTCCTTCCACTAAGCTATCTTCATAGAATAATTTGCAGGAGCTGTCTCTACTTCCTCTTCAGTTCCTTAACGCCTTAAATTCTACTTGCTATCCTCAATACTACTAGACTGCAGTCTGCTTTCTCAAAAGTCAACGATGCTCCCTCTTTACCTCCAGACGGATTGGGCTCCCTGTTCTGGCTCTTTCCAGAATATGATACTTGCTTAGTCACATTTGTACCTTAGGCCATGCCACACATTTCATTCTGCCTTCAGATCCCTACAGTTAGATGTTATCTCTCCCTCGTTTGAACTCTAGTGTTTAGTCGCTGCTGTCTTTTGGCATTTACCTCATGTTATTGTGTACCAGTTCCTTGTGTACCAGTCTTATCTCTGAGACATTGCCACATGCCAACACCCCTTCCAGCCCTGCCTGGTGCTCTTAGAAGGCAGGGAGTGTCTCACTAATCTTTGTTGTGGATATCATGTCCAGCAATAGCACGCTGCCCATGTACATCTGCCAAATTGGTTAAGTACTTGTTGAATGGAAGTAGAAATTCAAATTCACACAGATGGCCAAGTGTGATGTTCATTCTTAAGTCTTGTTTTTCTTTTGCTAGGTGAAGCTTGCGTGTGGAGCGCAGCAGTAAAATCAGACGACAGATGGACAGTGTGACAAGAGTGTCAGAAAGGATTGGGCCTCGCTGTGAGAGTCAGCCTGGAGTCCAAGTGTTGACAAGTTGCTGAAAAGGAAGCCAGTGGGAGAACTGTGGCCTGCAGAGGAAGTGGAGCCCTGTCTTCAGTCACACCGTTGATGGAGGACAGATGGACAGTCACCTCTCCTCTTAAACCTTTGGAGAGTTGCCCTTTGTCCTCTGCTGGACACATATTCGGAATCTTAACACACTCTCTGAGCTCACCTTCCTTAGAAACATAAAATTAGACTGCAGTGTAACCAGATTCGTCTGTTGCATGGTCACAGATTTGCAAACATGAGTGCTGAGGGGTACCAGTACAGAGCACTCTATGATTATAAAAAGGAACGAGAAGAAGATATTGACTTGCACTTGGGTGACATATTGACTGTGAATAAAGGGTCCTTAGTAGCTCTTGGATTTAGTGATGGACAGGAAGCCAGGCCTGAAGAAATTGGCTGGTTAAATGGCTATAATGAAACCACGGGGGAGAGAGGGGACTTTCCAGGAACTTACGTAGAATATATTGGGAGGAAAAAAATCTCACCTCCCACCCCAAAGCCCCGGCCACCTCGACCCCTTCCTGTTGCACCAGGTTCTTCGAAAACTGAAGCAGAAACTGAGCAGCAAGGTCAGTATTAATGAGTGATTTTTAAATGACTCTTTTTATTTTTTAAAAAGGGAAGTTTTACATTTGGGTTGAGTTGAAATGCTCTGGGCAGAAGTCGTTTCGGCAACTTTACCTGAATTTATATATGGTGTGTAAAAGCTTGGTTAGTCACCACATGACTAGACGTTTGTGCTTGTGGGGTGGAGGGTTTAGTTATAAAATAGGGAGATGGTATCTGAGAACCTGTTTAGTGAGTGTTTTTAAGAACTACTTTTGTAGTTGTCATTGAATTAAATACTTTTTGCTTTCTTATTCTTATAATTGCTATTATATATCTAAATCATTTTAGGAAAATAGAGGGTAAGTCTAATGTAAGTATATTTAACATTAATGTGATTTGTGTGGAAAAAATGTAGAGAGTAATAAAATGACCACAGAACTCAGGGGAGAAGAAACCATTGTTTTCATAACCCTGTGTCTACCTCTTGGTTTCCTCTCCAGGAACACTGTGCCTGCAGCTGAAACCCAATCCTGTCTTAGCCTAGATGTGGAGGGAGTTCTCTTCCTCTGTGGGCAATGTGTATGTAGCATGAGTGCCTATAGTGCACTTGGCCTTCATGAGAAAAAAAGATCACTGAATGCTTTTCCTAAATGGAAACCACCTTGATTCAAAAGCCACTCATTGTTTATTGGAGGTGGTCCTTGTATGAGCTTTGTTTGTTTGTTTCTGTTCAGTTTCACACAGAGACAGGCCTTTGACTCAGCTTTGCTATTATCAGTTTTGTCAATTCATTTCCTCATTGGTAAATTTCAAGCATTTTTTTCCTGCTGTGTAATCTTTCTTTCCCTTCCCAAGACTGGGATAGGTATGGAAAGGTATGCTTAGAATGGGTGGACTCGGTGGCAGCGGTTACAATAGAACTGGCTGCAGCATCGCAATGTATTTCTGGAAGAGATTCTGATACTGTTATGCTTTCTTTGGTGTGGCTTGTTTTAGCAAAAAATGAATGAGGTAATGAGAATAAAGAAGCAGGATGTAAGGGTAAATTGCTGCCTTTTAGTGTACAGTAATAATAGGATGGGAATATTTTGTAAAAGTCAAAGAACTTACTAAGGATGCCTTTTCCCTCTCCCACCTGACCCAAAAGAGGTACTGGTTTCATGAACATTACACCATATTTATTGTAAAATATGTTTAAATATGTTTTACTATACATTTCAAAAGCCAAGACTTAATTTTTCAGGTAAATCAAAATCTAGACACACAAATTTTGTCAACCATGGTGTTGATAAAAGGTATTGAACCACCTTGATTCAGAAACCTCTCATTGATTATTGGAGATGGTCCGCATTGGAGCTCTGTGCACAGCTGTTCATTTAAGGGGTTTTATTTGTTTATTTGTTTGATTGTTTCAGTTTCACACAGAGGCAAGCCTTTTACTCAGCTTTGTTGTTATCTGCTTTGTCAGTTTCAAGCATTTTTTTTTTTCTACTGTGTAATCTTTTTTCTCTCTCTCAGACTATGTATGGCAAAAACCATAAATAGTTGGTTTTTTCCACCAATTTACATATTTTTAATTTGAATTTTTGTTTTATAAGTTAGAAACAGGTCCTTATAAGTAGGCTAATTCAAGAGAGAAAACGATTTAATTTATCTCAGAATACAAAAGATTACTGGACTGTCCAGCTGCTGTACCAGGCTCAGTGGTTGAGCATTGACCTATGAACCAGGAGGTCACAGTTTGATTCGGGTCAGGGCACATGCCGAGGTTGCAACCTGATCCCTCTTGAGGGGGGTGTGCAGGAGGCAGCTGATCAATGATTCTCTTTTATCACTGATGTTTCTCTCTCTCTCTCTCCGCCTCTTCCTTCCTTTCTTAAATCAATAAAAATATATTTTTTAAAAAAGATTACAGAACCATAAAAATATCTGAGTTGGATTAGAAAAGAATATTTAAAAGGTGGAAAGGGGTATTTTGTCAATATTAATGACAAAAAGATTTTGTAAAAGTAATTTCTAAACAAAATTGCACTTGATATTTGTTTCAGGTGTAACTTTATCTGGATATAGTATACAAAAAAGCAAGTCTTTTAAGAAAAATGTTTTTCTCTTTTTAGGTCCTAAGCTCTTTTATAATGCTTTCTCATGTAATATGGTGACAATTGAAAATTTTAACAGCTTTTTTATTTTTTTAAATCATAAAAATGTAAAGTGAAAATTTTTAGCAGAATTTAAGAAAGAGACCCATGATAATATGCATTTAAGTATTATAAAGAACAGGTGTGAATATAAATGAGAAATTGGGAATAATGGAGAGATTGAAAGGGCAGTGTTTTGGGGTTGGGCATGGAATGCAGTACTAAACATTCGAATTTCTAGACTGTTAATCTTGTATTCTCAGTTAATTATGATTCCTGCTCTGGCTGAACACTCCATTGGTCAGAGCTTAGTCTGGATATTCCAAGGTGGTGGGTTAGATCCCCCATCAGGGCACATACAAGAATCAACCAATGAATGCATAAATAAGTGGAACAACTAATTGGTTTCTCACTCTCTCTCTCCTCCTGTCTCCCCTCTCTCTCTCTCTCTCTTCTCTTTCTCTCTAAAAATCAGTACATAAAAAAATTTAAATAAATAAATAAATGCAGTTTCTATAAAATGAGAATTTAGTAACTCCTACTAGTTGCATGTCCAATGGATATGGAAAGTAGTTGTAAGACAAAGTTAGATGTTGAAAGCTATGGGACTCTGATTTCTTTTGCCTAAGCGTATATTTGCTTGAAAAACTTTTGCAGCGACAATGTTCTGTGAAGGTAGAAAGGATAGTTCTTATTGTAACTGAATTCTTGAGTCTTCCTTTTCCTTTCTGCCCGCCCCCCGTGACTTAGCCTGTTTTTGGTGTTTGACTGCCTTTATTTTATTAGAATTGACCCCTGAGGTCTCAGGTCTCATGCAGGTCCTTCTTGTTGAGATAGTGTCCTGTGGGCAGTTTTGCACACTCCCATGATGGGCAAGGGGGAAATAGGGTGCTCTGACCTGCCTGCCTGCCGATCACATGCTCCTGTACCCTGTGCTTGCCACCTGCTGTGTTTAAAAGAAAGTTGTCATTAGACTGTGGCCCAAAAGTAGACTCTTTGTGAAGGATTCCTCCTATTGTAATAGAACCAGCTTTTCCACTTTCCTTATATGTTCCTGGAAACAAAGCTGTGATATGTAACTTTTAGGGGGGAAAAGAGTAAAAAAAAAGCCCTTTTGAAAATCTGATATTCAACTCCTCTCAGGAAAATGTATGTTCCACCAATACATTTTGTGTACAGTTTTCTTACAAAGCCCTAGCCTGTAGTTTGGATTAAACTTGTGTGTATTGGGTAATCTTATATTTATTGGAATTTAAATAATTAAACATGAACTGCATCCCTATTTTGTACTATGAAGCATGGATGAAAGGTGAAATCAAGACTCAAGAGAGGCAGTTTGCCCTCTGATGCCCTCTCCTGCCCCTCCCACCTCAGGGCTTGGACACTCTTCCTCAAGCATCCCTTTGCCCAGTCTACTCTCCCACCTTGCTAAAATCCTTCTCGTGGTGGCTGGCTCTGCTCACCTTATTCACGTAGCAGCCTGCCCTTCTGAGTCAGCCTGCGGACCGAAGGGTCCTCTGCTTTTGCAAAGCATTTATTATCTAAACTCTGAATTTACTTACATGTTGATTGTGTCTTGTCTGTTCCCTGTGGTAGATTATAAGCTCCATGAGGGCAGGGACCTCAGTTGTCTGTCCATCATCCCAAGTATCTAGAACAATACAGTAGGTTCTCTGCAAGTGGATAAAATGCTTGTTAGTAAGCTCAGCATTTAACTATTTCATGACCATGTGACTTAAAATTAGCCACATATGTTGTATGTCATGTGCAGGCACATGGGCCTATGACAGCCCATTCCTGTTTTTGAAATCACAGTTTATTTGTTCTTTGCATCATTCACATCTGAGGTATCTTGCAGCCTTGGCTTTGACCATTGCCTGCTGTGTCTCCAGATCTTTTCCTTTTCCTTTTCCTTTTTTTTCCCTCCTCACCCGAGGATATTTTTTCATTGATTTTTTTAGGGAGAGTGGAAGAGAGGGAAAGACAGAGAGAAACACGTCGATTGGTTGCCTCCTGCACAAGCCCTGACCAGGGCCCGGGCTGGGGAGGAGCCTGCAACCAAGGTACATGCCCTTGACTGGTGGAATCCAACCTGGGACCTTTGGTCTACAGGCTGACGCTCTATTCACTGGGCTGAACCAGCTAGGGCCAGAACTGTTATTTTTCTGTCTCATGGTTAGGACAGGTAGTTCTGTTGATGGGAAAGTGTGTTAAGCAATGGTGCTTACTGCCTGCCACTTAAAGTGAGTAGAACACGTGTCAAGGTCAGCGAGTGTCCCCAGGCACAGGTTTTTTGCCCTCTCTCCCCTCCTTTTATCTCCTTCCCTTTGCACGAGGGTCACATTTCATTTTCCCACAACCCAGTAAAAGCCCCATTTTGCTGCCTTTGGAGAGAACCTCTTCCATGTTTTGTGCAGGTGAAGGATGTTGATGGCTGTTTCCTGCCCCTTAGGAGAGACATCCTATTCAAATAAATACTCCAGCCCTTTCTACATCAGGCTGCTCAGACACTGGTATTTTATTCCCGTGTACACAACCCCATTCAACCCTGGTTCCCTATTTCCTCTCACACACAAGGAAGTGAGTTAAAGGAGGTGGGGATTCAGAGATGGGGGGAAGAAAATGTATTTCTTCCTTTCATAAGTAAGCTGTCCAGTGGGGTACTCCTTAAGACGGCATTTTGAGATCCTTTAACTAAAGCCATGCGAAGGCAGAATATTTAGACTGGTGAGATTCTGCGGCCAGGTTAGTTTGCATAGAACAGTGGTCGGCAAACTCGTTAGTCAACAGAGCCAAATATCAACAGTACAACGATTGAAATTTCTTTTGAGAGCCAAATTTTTAAACTTAAACTATATAGGTAGGTACATTGTTATTAACTT